ACTCCCGAAAGGTGATGTGTGGCACACAACCCTTGCCCATTAAAGCGCATTAGGAGTTTGAAATATACCTTAAAATTTTTTTTGTTTTTGCTATTTTTAATTTTGTTTTGGAAAGTTTGCAGTCTAATTCAATGGCGACTTATATCTTCTTCTTTATAAGAACAAGCTTTCATTTCACAGATGTATTACTACAGTTGGACAATTCCGGCTTCTTCGTTGCTTTTTCTTCGATTATGTATCTCATTTGGTTGCTTCTTCGCTTTCACAGCTTGCTGTTCCCCACGTTCCTTTTGACGAGCTTCAATTCGCCCGCCCGTATTCCACGGGTAATAGGAAATCTGCGGACCATTTGTAGGACCAGAAGCCATCATGCGCTGCAACATGCATGTTAGGTAAATCTTTACTGTTCGCGGTTTACCTGTGTTGGCAACGGAATTTTGCAGCGCCTGTCAAGCATGCTTTCACCGCGACCGCCGGTTTCTAAGAATTTTATTGTAAACTCTTCCACATAAAAGCGTACTTATCTCACCAAACATAACAGCATCTTTTTGAACATCTTGCTTCGCTCCTTTCGGACCCATCTTGCGAATTTGTGCTTTAGGCTGCTCTTCTACTTCAGCCTCCATCTTGAACTACCTTGAATTTTCCTTATATGAACTGTCAGTAGAACATCTCATGAGCGCACCTTCTTGGGATGTCGATGTAGTAAATGGGAAACATCCCACACCCAGTTTTGGCAGAATAAACAAACTTTCAAGTCAAGAGCTCTTATCTTTGTGTCTTATCAAAAAGAAATCCTAATCATTCTCACTGAACAATCAAGTTTTTAATAACACTACTTCCAAAGGTTTAGGTGAGCTAAAAAATTTCTTAAAAAATAGATTTGGAAACTGGACCTTTCCTGCTTGAATCCTTGCGTCATAAGATGGTGCGTTTTATGGAGAAATCATCGTAACTTGTCTAGGGAAATCTTTTTTTACAAACGAAGTTTCAAGAAGCACTTTCAAAATCTACCTTACATTTCGTAAATGGAGCTGATAACAGGCCAAATTAAGTTAACAATTGGCGAGGATTGCATGACAACCTTCAACTCTAAATCAGCAGAAGATTAGAAGTAGCATTCCAAAGGTTTGCCTAAACTTGTTGGCCATTCGCTAATTTCTGAGATAATTTTTACACAAATTTCAAACGGAGATGTAGCTAACCCTATAATAAATCAATTGAA